AAGTACCGGTGGCTATCTATCCGACGTCTCCAAAATAAAATGACCACCTCTTCTGGCCTCGGTAGAGGCGAAAACCATAAAAATGGCTAGTCCTCACCATTAAAAAAATGCTTTGTTTACTTAGTTGCAATCTAGATGTTCATAACCAAGACGAAGTTAATAAGCTTGTCAGTTCGACACAAAAAGTCATTTGCAACTTATAATGGGGCCACCCTCCAAAACATTATGTGTTATAAAAAATGGTAATCTTCTCAATCGCTTCTAATCATTAAAGAATATATTCCTGGCATTATCTTACAGTATTCAGCTTGAAATTGACCATCTGATAGAACTGGAGGACTAAATTGTTACGTGAAGGCCAAGCTCTTGTTTCTTTTCTTTATGTATCTGCTCAAAATAAGCGCTGGTCCGTGAAATTCATCATGAAAAAGATGGAAAGATTAGCACTTTTTGTTTGCGAAAGCTTTGGGTATATTTTAGGTAATACTACAACATTTGCCCAATGGCATCCAACGTTTTGTCAGAACCCAGCAGAGGACGAAATCCAAGTATCTCTTGCCTTTCTTTCCTTATCACAAAAGTCTGGGAGAGTTTTGTTTCTGAGAATTTCTGAGTAACTGCAAAATAGGAGAACGTAACGCTTTTATAAACACAGTCGTAAATTCTAGTTCGAAAAAATCATCTATGTAGTACTCAGAGGTAATTTCAACACTTCGCGTTTACGATATAAAATGTTCCTAATTGCAGTAAGATTACATAGTCTTATTTTATAATATTTTTAGGATACGTATTGATGCGTTTTTAAAGTTCCTTACTGAAAGAGAAAATTACTCCGATAATGCTGTCATGATGTTATGGAAATATAATTTTATTTTTGTCTATACTCTTGTAGAGTCATTAGGTTATTTTGAAGCAGGAAAGTGGGAAAAATGTGTAATGCCTCCCGGGACTCGAAACTGGACCTCTCGAATGCGTGCTGAGTATGCTACCTTTACACCATGAAGGCCTGCTGTAAGGAAGGAGAAAATACTTTATATGCTCCCCCATTTAAAAGGCGACTGGGGATTGGGGGGACCCAGTAGACAAGTCCTGGTCGTGACGAAACGGTTCCGACACCATTGTAGAGTCATTGGGTTAACTTAAAATAGAGGACATGAAAAATGTGCAATGCCCTCGTCCGGACTCGAACCTGAACCTTTCGAATACGCGCCGAAACCGTTACACCACGATGACATGTTGGAAGAGGGGGGAGTACCTTATACACTAAGGTTTCTGAATTTTCTTATGAAATTTCTAATACTCTAATTCTAATCTCCAATTCGGATCAGTGCTGCTGCGGCGATTTGGGCACAGCAAAACACTACGTTCATGAATGTCCTCTCACGGAGGGAATGCACATTTCGTTCCCGCAGACGAACAGAGAGGCATTCAACAGATTTATGGTCAAGCAGCGACACCAGACCAACAAAATTACTCATATAGTTGATAAGCTAATGGACATGGGTCCAGACTTATGCCATGTGTAAATATAACTGGTCAGTATGTCAGCTAATTTCAATGTAAATCAGTGTCATTCATGCATAAGTAATATAGATATGTCTGCGATGTGTATATAGTGTGGGCAAGCGTGTCCTAATGTATGTTATTATTATTATTATTATTATTATATTATATTATTATATATTATTATTATTATTATTATTATTATTATTATTTTATTGTGCTAGGTGTATACACTAGCTCTGTCTTATTATTACAAAGCAAATTAAGGTAATGTCATGTAGGTATTTAGAAAGTATATGTATGTAACAGTGCTGGATTGCATGTCAGCAAATGTGTATTAACAGAAGCATGTAAATAACTACTAATGTATATCTGCCCTTGTTTAGCCATGTACAATGCTATTCTTGAAGATTCAATGATCACAGGACCCGGGCACTTTGGACGGGTGTCTACCCGGTGGCATTTGGTTCGCGGAACTGCCAACCGGATGGTCCAGGCGTTGGGTTTGGACGCCTTGTGCAAGCCTCCCATGTGGCCTCTCTGGCTTTACTCTATATAAGGGCGGACGTGGCCCTATATGCTAATTAACTTAATAATAAAGGGGTGGTGGCCACGTCCTCCGTCACTATCACTATCACTAATACTAATTGGAACGGCATTAAGTCAATTATAATAAATTATCAACGATATTATATGTATATTAATTTATCATAGACTTTATATGTAGGTACAAAAACATCACAGAGTTATCCATTATTACAAGAAGAAATTTGTATAAACAATTGTAAATATCAAATTTATTATTCCCGTGACATCAAAGCTTTGCTTATGGCGAAAAGAGAATTTTCTAAATATTGAAAATATCTGCATACTTCTATCTACTTGCATATTTTAAAAAATGAGCATAAATATAATTATTTTTGCTCAACTTGTAGGCATTACGTTTCCCTAGTTTTTAAAGTTACCACATTACGTTCAGGTTTAATAAAAAATTTACTTTTCTTCCCAATCCGAACTTGTACTCCATTATATTATCGAGTGCATTAAATAATAAGGTTAGTTTAGTTTGTCTTAGTTGATTATCGTAAAACACACTACAGCTATCTGCCTAGAAAGAAAGTTTTCGAGGAGAACTTTCTAAGGAAACCTGCCTCATATATTGGTTACACATAGGGAAAACCACGAAAATACCCATGCAGCCAGATCATTCGCTTGGGAATCGAATCCAGGGTGAAACCCCCAGCGTTCAGCGATAATACCGTTCGGCCGCTAGTAGGCTCTAAAATAATATGGATGCAACCAAATAACATAAGTGCCTTCCGTCGATATAAATTACAAATATTAGGCTTGCATAACCAACAACTATTTTAAAGGATTCTCAAATTCGAAATGTATCAAAACCATATGAGCGATATAGCAGTTTGGATATTCATGAAGCTAAAAGGGTAAATATTCAAATGGATAGTTGAAGAGCTTATTACAATACTTAGCATATAGTAATTATAAAGGATAGAAAAATATTCGCATAAGGTCTTTCAAGAATTCTAGAACCCAAATTTGATTTGATTGACATAGTACCATTGCAAAACTTTTTATCTAAACTAAAAATTTTTTATCTAAAATAAAAACTGCGACTCATTCATAACAAATATATCTGAGAATTTGAAAAGTGTAATTTATCTTAATGATCACAAAACGTACTTCTCAAATCATTCGTTTGTAAAATTAGAAAATCTGATTTTCTTATAAAGAAGTTTTCTCTTTTAACATGTATGGTGAGCATTACACTGTAGCATGAGATTACTTTGATTTGAAAAGGATCATCTATCAAATGTGATAGGACCATTTTGTTTTCTCTCCGAGGACTAAGTATCTAGTCAGTTCTCTCTTCATTTTGATTAGATTGTTCCATTCTCAATAAATCACAGTAGCCGAGATTAGATGGATAAAAAACGCATCAAGTGTTCTCCTTAACAGTGCATGCAAAGCTTGATTTATTCCTCATTTTGCTGAATGTCTAATTTAGTGAAATTTATTTATGAATTATTTCTTTAGGATTATAACTGATTGGTTTTGAAAGGGCGTTAATACTTATGGGATCAATGTTAAATTAAGTAATACATATACATCTTATTAAACGTTAGATGCAGGATCTTGATCTGTTAATGATAATTCCTAAGGGACTGGCAGTAAGTTAGCGATGCGTTACCAAAAATGTATCGCAAAAAGTATTCAAAAATGAACAGAAAACAAAGCAAAGCTATGGTAAGCAGAATTAAATATCAAATATTACTAACTCAGATAAATTGCAAAATATAACTGTAATAATTATCAAAAATGAAAACAGAAAGTACTTTGAAAATGGATTATAATCTTTCCCTTTTAAAAATTTTTGATAAAAGAAAGAAGATTAAAATGGAAGAATTTCAAGTCAGAGGTGAATCATTACTTCACTAATGCAAAATGATCAGAAATTTAAAAAAGGCAATAAAATGCTAGTAATATTAATAACGGTGGTGGTGGTGATGATAATAATAATAATAATAATAATAATAATAAAATAATAAATAATAATATAATAATAGTAATAATATAATAAATAATAATATAATAATAATAGATAGTAGTAAATAAAATAATATGAATAGTAATATATAATAATAATAATATGAATAGTAGTAATAATATAATAATAACATGAATAGTAGTAAATAATAGTAATAATAATAATAATAATAATATGAAACTTCTAAAAATATTATTATAAATTTAGTATTCTATACATTTGCAATTTTAATTTAGTATCGTTTGTAGTTTAATCATTTGTAATTTAGATTTAATAATTTTATTTGTATTTTTATTTGCTTCGTTTTTTTGCGCTATGATAACGTCTTTGGAGGCTTATCTTTATTATATCTAGATCATTTTCGAATAAAATATTGAAAATAATTTCCGAACCTAGAAGGTATTTAACAATATGCCTTTGTTAATAATACTGCTAAAATGTTAAAACATACAAATAAGCTTTAATAAAATAAGTTTGGTGAAATTAATTTATACTCTCATTTTGCGTTTCATGAAAAACATTGTTATTTTCAGCTGCTTCATTGCTTTTCGAAAGAGCAGAACATATTACTCATATTAACACATTGTAACTGATAAGTTTATATGACTTTTGTTTAAAATATAAAGCAAATTAAGCGCATGTCAACTCCGAATTAAATGCATAGCATAGATGTAGATCTATAATTGTGTCTTTCTGTTCTACAAATTCCGCAAGCATTTATAAGACATTATATACTGAAGAGATAAAGCTGGAATAGTTGCACAGTTTAGTTTCTGTCACGGATTCGCACGTAGGGCAGGGAAAATCTTTAATGTAGCTTTTACATAAATGAAAATTGTAGTAATGAATGCTTGATTAACCCATAAATGCTATCGAAATTAGTGTGTATGCAAACAGAAAATTATATAATTGTGAATGTTTTTCTCTCCAGGTTGGTCCAGCTTTAAACCACACGCCGATTAGGGCTGGAGCACAGCTGAGGATTCTAAGTAAGCATTTTTTGATGTTACATTTCTAAAACAAAGAGGTGTTAATAAAATTCTCTGTTTTCCTCTGTAATTTCAATTGAATATTTTAACCCTCCGTTCTGTATTCTGCATTTTCAGTTAAATGCTTATAAAAGTTCTAGATGCTGGCTAACAATAAGCTACTTCCCAATGGAAATTAATCATCAGGAAACAATCCACTAAGTAATAAATAGCATTATTTCAAATGCAAGAAAAAAATCTTATAATTCTGAATATTGGTTACAAATGTGAAATGGCACCCAGACACCAAATGTATAACATTTGATGAAAAGGTGCTTAAGGCGTTGTATACTAGAAAAATGAAACTGAGTTTCACAAGCAGTTTCAATCCTTAAAAAAAGCGAGAAAGAAATAACGAATTACTAAGATTCCAGAAAGTATTTTAGGTTTTCACAGGAAGAAAATGTTTTAGTTTTCCTGAGGGCCTCAATAGTCCTTCGAGCTTCACTACTTCTTTTCTAAAATATTTTAGCTGGATATTTACAATCGAATCAGAGTTTGGGGACAAAGAAAATACGTTTTAGATATAAAATGATAATATATAATCAACAGCTCTTAGAAACCACTGAAAGTAAAATCTTTTAATATAAATTAAAATATCCATTACTAAATAAAACTGTATCAGTTCCCACTACCATTTTCAAAATAAACCTTATTTTATTTGGCAAATATAAAAATTATTTTATTTTCAAATAAATATTAATTTAATTTTTAAATAATTTCTTCAAATTCTTAATTTGCTTACAGTGTAACTATTTTTGTACTTCTCCAGCTGCGAATATAACGGGAGTAAACAGAGGGAGAAACAATGAGAGATTAATAGGTTATCAAATCAGAGACTGAACCTTTTGTGACGCTCCGAAAGAAACCATATATTCGTAATTTATAGACCTCGACTGGCTTTTCGAATGTAGAAAATGTGAAACATCAGTTGTACTGTTAGCAGGATTTGAACTACGAATCTTTCATGTGGGCAATGTGATAGTTACGTATAAGTTTTCATTCCTCAATATATGTTAATGAAGTTTTATTAAAGTTTGCTTTGGTTTGGCCTAGTTCCGAGAAACTAAACCAATTGCAAAACCGATCACGATTGCTATGAATCGAAGAACAGAATATTTACTATTAAATCTATTTTAAGATACTGTTTGTTGGTAAGTACAATAATTAACAATTATTAAATAGCTTAACTTGAATTTTCATCGACTTATAGTTACCTGGAATTACTTGAATTCGACACAGTAAAAAGACTCAAAGAATTGAATAAGATTTTCACTTTATCAGCTGTTAGAATTGTTTACAAGGAGTTCATTCTTTCTTAGCATCGAATACTAGTCGTTTGGTTTTATTTAATCTGTTGCGACAAACACTGGGGAAAATTAAAAAAAATACATACGAATTAAACATATGGCGCGATGGCAGCGTCATCTATAGAAAAAGGTAAAATAAGGCATAAACATTTTAAAAACTGAACAGATACGAAGGAATTAGGCTTCATCGAAACCACAATACTGCTTTTTTATAATTAGGCTTTTAATTGACTGCGTTTACTGAATTGACTTTCCGAACACATGTAAAAAGTAACAATAGGAACATGTACTTGAGGAAACGAGCTTTACTTTCTGCAGCAGGTAAACGTATAAGCTATTTCTCCCGCATTCTTGTCTAGGCGAGTATTCCAGAGGTCCGCGGTTCGATTCCCGGCGAAGGCGTTGCTTATTTTTCATTTTGCCTGCTCCCAAAAATACCTAATGTCTCTATAAACGTACAGTTTCAAACTTTTCAATTTTAAGTTTGAGACTGTATTTTTCAGTCGGAATTTTCAAATTAGTAATTCAGCTTCATTAAGCTTCTATATAAAAATTTAATTTTATTGGCATAAATATATTATTTTATCGGTGGAATACATATAGAGACCTGATAAATATAAATAAAAATGTTCATTTTAATATGCTATTTTTATTGTCCAATAAACAAAGAAATAAATTAAATGATTCTTGAAACATATAGCTTCTTTCTCGGTTATTTTGAGAGTCTGCATAATATTTATCTTATTATCGATATATATTAATGCTTAAGATTCTTATTATGAGGGTCTATAAAAGCCATTCATCTTGAGGTTTCAGCTCAAAAAATTGATTTCCTGTTTATGTTTTATTTATTTCTATTCTTATTTGTTTATGTTTTATTTTTTCCTGTTTTGTTTTATTTATTATATATGATAATTTATTTTAATTGTTCATCGTATTGTTCTTACGAAATATTGTCAGACATATATTAGTTAAGTCAATAAAAAGGAATATATTAATTAATTTGCCTTATAACAAGTTATATAATGATATTATCATATACGCTGCACAAACATTCTGTCATTTAATACTTCGTTAATATAATTACTTTTACGATTATTATATGATATGATTCCACGAGTCCACATAACAAGAAAAGAAGGAAGAATGATTACAAAGTCATGCATCAACGTTCTCAACGGTAATGTGGCTTCATTTCTTTTATCAGATATATTTACGACAAGCATTAACTGAATAACCTGTGGTTATTATGTGATTTCGAACGACTGATTAGTAATATGATCTGCACCAATTAAAAATAACATAACATAATTTATTTGCCTGTGCGATTAATTTTCTTATTTATCTGCCTGTATGACTAAATCTCTTATTTATCTGTGTACGCTATTAAAGCAGAAATTATATTCCAAAATGGCAATTTTAAATTTTGTTTGTGAAGATTCTATAACATAATAAATGTATGCTGTTTCCAGTTTGCCTATTATTGACCTTTACGGATCTACTACCTTCATTACTTCTGAAGGAGAAATGTCTAAATTACTTAATAAGAATGAAGTTAAAGCTGATCGCATTTACCCATCGCCTATAGAGTCTTCTCATTTCAATACGAAACTGTCAATTCATTTTAATACACAAAGTAGTAATAATAATGATGATAATAAAAAATCTGAAGGCTTTCAGATTTTATATTACGCTCAAAAGAGTTCAGGATCTTCTTAGTTAAAGTAATAATGTTAGAATCTCGGCCATTAGTTACAGTGTTTAAATAAATGACTCTCTAAATAGCAGCTTTTTTAGGAAGCAAGAGTATGTATAAGTTGTTTAAAAAAGAAGCTGTATTTATATACTTTCAAACATTACTCGTTCGCCTCCCAGACGGTATAGTGGTTAGAGAAGCCTGATTGCGATATCAAATGGCCCGCGTTCGAATCCCGGAGAAGGCCATGGATGTAAAATTGTATGTCCTTTCGTAGCAGGCAGCGGAGGCCGTCCATTAGGCTCTTCCACAATAAAATGGCCTTAGTAATAGCCAATGGCATTATAGGCAAGTGACCGTCATTGGGGGGGGATATCATTTCTTCTATGATGTGTCATGGAGAAGAAATTAAGTTTGTAGGATTCCACGCCTTAATCAGCTTTTTTGAACCGTAATGAAACTGTCAGGCGACTTGTTGCTCCGTCCATATATTTAACAACCAAACCTGAAGAACGTTTAATTAATCAACAATAATATTTTTATTTAAACTTTAACTTTGGAATGCACGGCTTATGCTTACAAATCACTCTCCCCTGCTTATGGAATTTTAAGGTAACATAAAACTGCAATTTAAACTAAACAGGAGCTGGATTTACAAATGCACATCCTAACAAGCGCTGACTTAATTCTAACTGATTGTCTAAGTAACTGGATTGATATAAAGCTAATTCCGGATAAGATAATTCGCAGGGGTGGGCGAGATCAAGAGTACGCTTGCAGAATTAAACTAAACACGCAAAGCGGTCATTATGTCCATATGTTTACACAGCAAGGCACCATACGAATTGTTTCAAATAGGATGTTGACACATATTCCAGAGTGGGCAGGTTGTATGGGTGAGTTCCTTTTCCTGTACCCATTGTGTATAACGGGTTCACACCGTTTTCAAAAATGGTGTCTCAAAGACGTCAATTCTTGCCTTTATAAATGTGTATCAGGCCAACTAGGGTGACATTTTGTCTGATTTCTCGCAATGAATGAATACTGTAATTATAATGATAAAAAAGAGAAAATAATTCCAAGGTAAGTAAGGGCAACATTTCAGTTTCCATCCACACAAGAAAGTCAGAACACAGCAGTAACCCACGAAAGTCATGCTCAAGATATTCTGTAAATTTTATACACAAAACACAGGACTTAAAATTGATAATATTTCTCATTTTTATTACTATGTTTCCCATATTTCTATTTTTGTATGCATTTGTACTGTAAAATTGAACAGAAATTGAAATCTTACTATATTTAAAATATTTTATCTCGAGTGTTTTTTTTTCCCGCGAGATTCTGCTATACTTTGAGGTTGCGTTGCCTTTCCCATGCAGCATTTAAAAATATAGCCGTAATATTGCAGAAATAACATTAAATTTCTGAAGGCTTAACATAAAATTTCTTGAGGCTTTCCTCTCTCCTTAAGTGACCACTTCTGGAAGTATGTTTCTGCCAGCATAAGCATTTAAATCAAATGTATATTTATTTTCTATCTGAAATCAAAAGCTGGCTACCTGGGAGGCTACCTGTGACTACTGTGAACTGTGCTGTTTACATTTTGCAGTTAAAGTATATTGAGAGCTAAATGTTAAATTCTTAAGCTGAAAATTCTATCAAGTAATTTTAACATGTTTAATTAATCATTAAATAACTTTCTTTAATTTAAACTAAAAATAAAGTTATCATGAAAACTTTCTATGTTTTCAGAAAAATTTAAAACGTAGAACAAAAACTTGAGAATAAACAATCACAGCCCAGTCTCTTATTTATTATATTTTCTTAGAAGCATAAATTAATTACATACAAATAATAAGTATATTTGTATGTAAATAATTATAAAATTCTGTATGTACTACTACAGCTTGACACCTCACGGCATTTTGACTCTAATAAAATTTGATGTCATGGAGAGAAATTACTTAAGGTTACTTTGATCACGAATTATCCATACACATTAATAGTTCTTTTCGGATTAATTTCAACTATAGAAGAAAAATTATTCACACAATCTATTATCGCACAAACAGAGTATTTCCAGGGCAAAAATTCATAATTGAGGATATTTATCTTTGGACAAGTACGAATAAACGATAATGAAATCTATATCTTCCGATTTTTAATAAGATTTATAGTACAGAGTAAATAAACTAGCTCCATTTAAAGATTTTTGTTGCGTTATTCATGTTTGTTTTGAATGGAAGAAACAATTATATAAACTCGTATTTCAAATAACTAGAAATGTTTGCAATATTGTATTTTCAACAAATATACAATTGCATTATCCCCGCGGGAAGCATAAAATTGTTTCGGGGTCCGAATGCAACCAGCGGAAGGCCATTTTGATACCACTGATTTAGGCGGTCATATAAAAGCCTCTGATGTCGGAAAAATACTGAATTTAAAGAAAAGTTCGTAAAAAAATGGTGGAAATTTCTTCCTAACATTTCTTCTCCATATTTATTTATTTATCCTTTCTCTAATAGAATGATAAATGCATTAGAACAAAAATTAAGTCAGTATATGGTGAAAAATATAAGTATTATTTTATTATTTTAATACGGAAATCATTAAAACTCAGAAAACAATTTTTGTGGTACTTCCAAATTTCGTCAGAATTATTGCATGAAATATTCTGCGAGGAATTTTGAATTTATATTTTCTCTGTGGATCAAAATATTTAGAATTCTTTATACATATCTCCTAATTTTCGAAGCTGCAAATTATTGAAAAGGAAAATAAATACAAACTCTCAGTTCCTGAGAAAATTAAATTTCATTTTCGTGACATTGTTTCTAAAAGTTTTATGATAAAATTTTACTCAGGTATTTTTAGCGTTTAATCAAGTATAGAAACGTATTGCGAAATATTCGTCTGATATTGCAATTATATTTGATTTTTGTAAAAGTCAAACATAACATACAATCTACATATATGCAGTGTTTTTGCGTATATGTCTTGTTTAAAATTCCGTACATTATGACATAAAATAAACTACATACAACTTTTGCATAACTCAGAATTTACTGATTCTGCTTTATACTATAAAAATAAAATAAATGCATAAAAGTAATTAGTTAAACACATTTCACATATTTTATTGTTTTAAATCATTCAATAGGATAATTTTGGAAATCACATGATAATTCACCTAGCTCAAACTAGAAAGACATTAATTTATAAAATTTCTTATGAAATTGTGTATAAGTTGATTTAATTAACAAATGCATACTAAACAAAAGTCACGGTAGCTAAGTATGAACGTTTGTAAGGTTCATCTTCCATGCATGTCTAAGCCCACTGAATTCATCGTGGCCGTGGCAAGGAGTGCAAGACTGCATCTCTGGTTCGCAAGGATCTTGAGCACCATACGATGACAGTACTCTGCTTAGTTCCGCCCCAATTTTGATGAAGAACATCCTTGGGGGACGAATCTACCCCTCTTCTCCTACCACAACCTCTCGAGAGGACTTTCAACTCGCCGCATAATTAGAGTGTCTCCATGCCGCACATGCACTATACATTTGCAAACACCCATGCCGTCTTCGAAATTCGAATCCAAGCCCTTCGGTACGGCAATCAGCGTCGCTAACCACTATCACGGTTGGGTAGTTTAAACATTGGTTCTAAAATCGATCAAAAAAGGATGTGATTTTATATGTCTGTCACACAGCTCTTAGAGTATGAATTCATATTTGTAATGAGGCAGTTTATGAGTGCAAGTGGTAGTCTCCTGCAGCAGCATTGTTCTCAATCCCAGAGGGTAATGGTGAGTTGCGTCGCCTCTCTGTAATCAATTCCCTGCTGTTTATTCTTATCTCTTTCTCCGGCCAATAGCTATCACAGGATGAGGTTATATAGAGAATCATTTAATTGAATCAAGACTGGCTTCTGAACAGAATAGTCCCTCACTGATGCTTCGGATAATATCCATGTTATCTTCACCATGCCTGTCTTGTATGCAGGAGTGAGCGGAACGCAACCAGAAGGTTTTCTTGCAAATCGGCATTTCTACTGTAGGCTTCTGGAAACAATAACCCTTGAAACTCAGCTTTTTTTCTTAGCATGGAGGTCATGAAAGAGCTAAAGCTTGTAATGGCTCACTGAATAAACAAGTATCTATCTTGATTTGCCTTCGTGGCTCTTGCAAGACTTAGTCAAGCCTTTTTCTGTACTAATTTTGTGTCTTAAAATTACTTCCACAATTCACACAGGACGCTGGACTTTATATTCAAGGCTCTAGAAATCTTGAGAGCTCTATTTCGGGGCTTCTGATGATTCATCCAGTCATCAAAATGTTAGTGGCATTTTATTTTAATTGTCTGCGAGCGAAGTTCATCAAATGTTTCAAAGCAACGCTAACGCGAAGTTTGACACAAGCGCTCAATATGCCACTTAGATTCCTCATGACTGATCTCTGAAATACTCCTCTCATACTCACGTTTATGCTTGCGTATTTGACACTAAATATTTTTATTTTGTTATATTGTTGCGAAGAATAATTTGTATTTCTCTTTGGCGCTTTTCGAGAAAAATCTCCCAAAGTATGCAAATTTGTTTCGCAAGCATCAGTACTTATATATTCCCTGTTTGAATAATTCTCTTTATTTCGTTTAATACGTTTCATAGCGTTGTTGTGAGCATTTAGAGGTAACTTGAAATTCATCTTAATAATTAAGTATTAAATAACCATAATACATATTTCATCATATACGTTTTCGCCCTTGCGTAAATTTATGTCACAAAAATGTTTTTACAATAATTACAACATTCGTATATGACTCCGAAAAGATTTCATTGTGTAATTCAAGTACATTTTATATAATTCAAGTATCTTTCTGCTCCTTGCAAAACCAAGGAGTTTTAAAAATCGATAAATGTCAAACTTTAACTTCAAACGATAGGTTCTTAAAAAGGCTGAAATTTGTATGCTAGTTTGCAAATCTTAGGAATATTTAGGTATTTCGAATACAATTCTCTGCTGAAATATTTGCAATGGGGACAAGTCTTACACAATGTAGACAGCTAAGGGACGAGAGAAACAACATTATCCCTTCTCTGTCAGCGGTGTTTTCAAACTTTGAGCATTTACTGGTTAATGTGCATTTATTAGGAACTGCTTGACATGAAGCGTAGATGAGGCTCTCTGGTTAAGTGGGATTATGGGTTTTATTGGCACCTCTTCAGTATGTTTAATGGATTCAGTGCTCTGAAGTTCAGTGCAAATTCAGATCGAAACGAATGAGCTGATCAGTGTATTCGTGTTATGTCCAATTAATTCAAAACTTCAAATAACATTAACAGGTGAAATAGACCAAACAAGCAATTTATCAACCAAAAAGTATAATATAGAAATATGTATATAATAGTATATTATATATAAACTGTTACGGATAAATTGCACATGGAACCTACTACAGCAGCGTTTTGGCAGTTAAACGTCTTCCAGAAGCATGAACTCTAGACGTTCATCCAGCATAATACCATTCTAGTCTAGAACATCTCAATGATACATGTATGTATATATATACTGACGGAATAAAACTCCCAACACCAAGAAGGGGTTGAACTAGGTAAACGAAATTTATAGGCATTTTATAGGCATTTTTTATATGTTTGAAAGACGATGTCTGTTCAAATTTCGCGCTAGGCACATACGTGTGACACATGAAAATTAGGTTTGGTTTAAATACGCGTTGTAAAGTTTGTGAGCATTATTTATTATTCAGATCTGACGTAGTGAGTTCATGTTAGTTAAGAATACTTTTAAGAAGAAGCCATTATCAACAGCTCAATGAGTTTGAATAAGGTCGTTTAATAGGGCTAGGAGAAGGTGGATTTTCTTTCCATGATACTGCAAAAAGACTCGGCAGGAATGTGCTCACTGTGCATGATTGTTGACAGCAGTCGTAAAAGGAAGGCACTGGTTGTATCAAACCATTGTATATAACTATTTTATTTCATTTTTAACACACTTTATTAATTTCATGCATAACATCGGTCGTTTTAATCCTATTCGCTCTAGCATTTATTCTCTATGTACGCAATTAATGATAATGCAACTGAATCTACATTATGTACATTATACATAACCTGCATTAATGTTTGCATGTTGTAGTTGTAACAAGCTTTTTTTTACTAATGAAAGAAATTAGTTCAATTTATACAATGTATATATAGAGTATATATTGATAAAGTTTCAAATTTTTTCAGTTCCTCCTGAGTACATTTCTGTCAATGGCCTGGGTCAGTCATCGACAGTCGAAGTGAAAGAAAATACTTCAGTGCAGCTTACTTGTCAAGCGGTGGGTAGCAAACCTCCAGCGCTTCTCAAATGGTACAGAGACAGTCATGAAGTATCTAAAGGTAACTAGAAATTCATGAGTCACATTGTCTGTTGAAAAATAAATTAGCGATTTGCTTCAAAATGTCTTGAGTTATTTTTGTAGTTAAAGCGTTATACTGATTGGCATTATGTTACATTAAATATAACAAGAGGATTTATTTCACAATTTTTTAAAATTTATTCCATTAATAAGTTAAAAAATAAAACTTAAAAAGTAATAAATGCATTTTATATTACTCGTGAAATTTATTTTATTTCAAAATTACATTTTAAATTTTACCAAAATCTTTCACAGTTTATAGATCATTTAGATGAGCAAAATTTTTTTAAAACGTATTTCTTTGAAAAAACGTTCTTATGGAACATCCATTTTCACAAGCAGGAAAAGAATTTGTATTAAAAATATAATGTAAAGTATTTGGGACTGTAACGTACCCCTGAGATATAATTTATGGAGATAAAATGACAATTAAAAACAAATTTACAAAATACAAAATTTTTAATTGCAAAAATTCAAAATATATGAAACTAGACTAAAGCTATATTTTTATTTGTAGTTTGCAGTCTGGATGTTTAAGTATCATATATTTTTATAATGTTTATAATATTCTGACATTTTAATATTTCTACTAAACTGATATTTTATAATATAAATATTTATCCACGTATGTTAACCATACAGCTCAAAAAGTTTTATTTTTATCCGAAAAATGAGCATATATTTTATGAATCTGAAAATATTAAAATAATTTTAATCTTAGTTTTGTTCAGCTATCATACTGATCCGAATATACGACAAAGTTTCAGTTTTCTTTAAAATACGTACGGAAATTAGCAGTTACAAATGTAATAAGACGTTTTATGGCTTAAAACTGATGTTAAAAGAAGCTGCGTTCATTTATATTAACTCAGAGTACAGTACTAAAACTATCTTAATGCCATTATTGATATCAATAAATTTAAGATCCATCATGTCAAAAGTAGTCTCTTTGTATTTGTCGTAAATGATTTAAAATGTTAAAGACGTCTGGTAAGGGAAATTTTATTTATATGATATCGTGCCACAAAACCATACTTCAGTAAAATATAGGTGATTTCCTCTCCCCCCCTCTCTCTCTCTCTCTTTTTTTTTTTTTTTTTTTTTTTTTTTTTTTTTTTTGCCAACTTTTGTAAATTACCAATTTTGGTATACCATGTACAGAGTGACGAAATTAATATCAGAGCGACGTTCCTATCTCATCGAATTCATGTGGTGAATGTGAATTGATTGCATGAAAAGATATAAATATTATCAATTATGTTAATTGAAATTGGCATTTCTGCATCCTGTGTAATCCAGCAAAATGTAGTGTTTTTTCAATTGCCTTTTTTTAACTGCATTTACTCTTCATTTAATAAATTAGACATTCTTTTCATGAAGCTTTACATACCTTTAGTACATACTTACCATCTAGCTAAATTTCTTGCCAACAATTATGCTTGGTGCTAAATTTGTCCGGATAATATAAAAGTACCATATTGAATTTTTATTTTAGCACTAAAAATGGGTCTCGTACCCCGATTATAAAGTTTTCTGAAATTTCTTCTATGTGAATAATTTCAGCAATGGTGACTAAAATTATTACGAACACAATGCTTCAAAACTGCGTAGAATTAATAGTTAGGTTAAGAAAAAGTGTGCTAAAAAAGAATAAGATGAACCGTAGAATTAAATTCCAGTGAAAGAAATTTCAGTCCGGAGTGGTCAATTTCGCCTATTAGGGGAATCAGGAATATTTGCATTATTTGTTATAGTAGCTCGTGATATAATATAATGGTAAATGATTATGAAATGTGTGGTAATTTAATTGTGCTGTAAATTAAATGTGCTGTAAATTTAATTATGTTACTAGCATAAAAAATATTAGAAACATTTTCATGTATTTATATTTAAAGAGATATTGCAAATTTAAAAGCCCTTACTCTAAAAGTGAAAGCTTAGCTTTCTTTTCGACAAGTATTCAAAATCAATGTGTTAAGCATTTGACACAATTTCTCAAAAAGTAATAACAAATCAATGCATTGCAAATACCACCCGAAGGCGCAAAAATATTTCTCAAATCCAGAAGCTCCGAATCCACATTACCCAGCAAGCAGGTTTCTGATTTAATAAAAAACACTTCCAGAAATAATCTCTTCTATCTCTTTTTCTCTGATATGTAACTAAGAAAGGAATGATTACTAAATCCTTTTACCGATAATAAAACCTTTTAACATCTTCTTTCCTGGATTTCTATTGGAGACGTAATTGCCCTGTGCGATTCAGCTCCAGGCTGGTTATTAAGAGGATTCGAGATATAGAAGGGGATTACGCGATTTGTTTTCCGTTTTGTTGTTTGCAGGCTGCAGGCTGCTAGTAGTGACTACACTCCGTAAGCATCACTTTAATTATCGATAATTGTCCTCTTAGGAAACTGTCAGTTATTTTTTATTTTTTGAAGGGATAAATAGAAGATGAAAGGTGCCCCTCGATAAGTGTTCTTAAAGAAAAAATAAATGGTTCGGAAAAAATAGAAACTCACGAAACGTAAAAAGTAAGGCGAAAGAAACGTGCAAAATAAAGGAAAAATAAGTTTCTATTTTGTTGTATTTATTTTTGTTTCGCTGATTACTCTCGACGTTTGAGACTCTGTGAGGAATATATGCTTCTTTTCAGTTGCTTTTCCGGAATAAAACTGAGACGAAGGCTCTAATTTGATAGTTCTCGATGAGGCAGAATAGAAGTAATTCAATTTTATTTTTCCTTGCGAACAAAATATCCTTCAACTATTTTTCTGAAATTCACTTTACTTTAAAACTTTAGTAGAAGTAGATCGTTTAATGTAATACATTTTACATGGAAGAAATTTATATCTAAAGAATAGAAACCATACATTTTTATATTTATATTCAAAGGATTTAAAAATTTAAGAAAGTTTATTAATTGCCCATTTGAGGACAACTTGAGATCCTCGCTTGGGCTTCAAATAGGTCTTCCGTAGAAATTTCCTTTTTCACGCTTATTTGGCCCTCAAAAAATAACTTGGATCATGAACTACCACAAAACTACTTATTCTCAATATTATATTGGTTTCACAAAATACAATAAATGGACAGAAAGCAGGATTCTTAATGCGAGAAGCTTCCGAAATGAAAAACACAATCCTGAAAAGGAAGGAAATCAAAACTGCGAACTTCCAACAAAGTGATCGAAATTAATTTAAAAAATAAAAGAGTTTAGAAAATGTCTGACTTCAGATTTACTGCTCAAAGAATGGAAACTTTCGAAGTCGATAGAAATATTTTCGAAGTCAACTAAATTGATCTATCGACTTTCGAAGTCGATAGATCAATTTAGTTGTATCCACAGTCCTGAAAAACATTGAGTTTGTTATTATAATCATCTGAATAATACGTTTGTTGAGTATTTTGACTCTTTTGATAGTTCTATGAAATCTTATGGTTACATTAAATTTGAAATCTGAAAATATCTGATGTAGACATCACATGACATCCTTTTATGGCCTATTAAATTATTATTTCTGCACTTCATTTAAACTTATTTCCTTGAATTTCATTATGGATATATTACTCCTTCAATCAATTCAATTCTCATTATCCAGAGAGGCAAAAATACATAAAAACTCAATGCATATTCATCTGAAATTGTAAAATACAGAAAAACGGAAACACGAAATACAGTTAAAAACAGTTAAAGAAACGATTTTTAAAATTAAAATAACAGTTTCTACGCGATAGCAAGTAACTCAGACAACATTTTCGGTACACAAAATTAAAAGTTAACTTTTTGTTCCACAGTGCAAAAATGCACCAAAATAGTGCACAAATTGACTAAATTTACAATTCTACTAAGAGTTTCAACTGTAAACAAAGGGCCGCTTCATTATGTCTAGCGTCACTTTTGAAAAGTTATAATGAAAGCCTAGAGTCAACTTTAAAATGTGAATGTGCTAAAAATATTGTAAACGACTATAAAATATATAGTCGTTTATAGTATTTTTAGTACATTCACATTTATACTATACTGATATCTAATGTGCGCTATACTGATATGCGCTGCATAGAAGTTACATGATATACTAACTATATCTACTGATGATGTAGAATGACAAATCTAGTCAGCATATCATAATATCTTTGATTAGTAAGAATACAGGAGTGGGATCCTTTTACAGAAATATCAGAAAAACCGAATAGTCTGATGAAATTACTGCGAAGCTGCACCAAACAGTGAATTTTGATGCGTGCAAAGGGATTTCCTGAACTTCACGAAATTGTTTGGATGCTCAGATTTGAGAATTATGAGTATTAACAGTACCATTTGGGAAAATGGGCCTTATCTTCCCACAGAATTTTGTATGACCAAATATCTTCAACTTCTTTTTTGGCAAAAAATGTCAGAGCAAATGTCACCCGTTTATATTAATCGTTGGGTTTCAATTTCTATACGTGGTTTATCTTATATGGTTAGAAATGAAGAAATTTTGGCAAGATTTACAATATTGTAGAAATTTTCAAATTCAATTGTTGCGCTGTTCCCTGGGCACTGCTACTACCAGTAATGGTTCCGTAGATGCCGTAAACGATTATTGTTGTGACATCAGTAACTGTCTGTTCTGAAACCGGTTTCCGTATTCTGCCAAACCGAGCAGCTAAGAAGCCTATTTCTTCAAATTTCTGAATCATGAAAAGGCTTATGCGTTTTTACGACTTCTAAACTCACGAAGAGAGGCGGTTGTATTCAATTAATCACGTTCACAGTTAAACAACAAGAAATCATATCTAAGTTCTCAAAATGCTATATTCTTTTTATTATTATTATTCTCTTTTTTAACGTAATGTAGAATCACATAGACACTCAACATTTCGCCTGAAAATGATTTGATTTCACGCATACTACCCCTAGTCTTCAGTGATTTTAATTTTTCAATTGTAAATTCACTCCAATTTATTTCAAAATATTTATTGGAATTTTTTAATG